TTCACCTGCTTCATTTTGAGAGCGTCCAGGATTTTTTTTGTTGGGGTGGGGGTTGCGCATTCTTCAATACTGTCTTAATTTTTTAAACCTTATTTGTTTCAGCAGTTCTTGGAAGGATTTACAGGAAACGAGCTACAGAATGAAACCTAAACTTTAAAAATATATCAAATTCTGCAACGCTGAGAAAATAAGAGTAAATCGGGGTCTGAGCGGAATTTCTAACCCACCATGTCTAACTCTGGAGAACTCTCCCCTAAGCCCTCCACATTGTCCCATCGTTTCCCGTCTTCAGGTCGTGGCTGTCCTCTTCTACTGTGACTACCTGTGTGAATGGCGCTATATAAATACAAGTTGATGTTGAGAGTGGGGTTGGAACGGGTTGGAGAGATAGGGTGGGGGAAGGGTATCCAAACCATACTGTTCCCAGCCAGGGGGTGGGGGGGGTGAGGGGGGGGGAAGGGGGAAATGTGCCACAGACTTTGGAACACTGGAGGTGGAGTGTGGGGGTGGGCAAACGGTTGACATTGACTGGCTCTGCCTTTGACGAGCACAACACTTGTTTTAGAATAAGGGATCGATGAGCTGTCAGATTTAATGGTCGCGGATTTATTGAAAACAGTTTCTTGCAGATTTAAAACCAGTGGTAAAAAAAAAGCCATAATTTCAGCATATCTTGCACTTACATCATCCCAATAAACTATTATTTTCCTTTTAAAGAATCGAGGCAACTTGAATGTTTATCTTTGGCTCGAGCCCGGCCTATTGTTGTGACAGATATGGATTGCCTGAAATATTTTAACCACAACCTCAAATTTTCAATTGATAGACAATAAGAGATTTCTCATGATATAAGCTCTCCTGTCACCCTCAGACCAAACTCAGCCCCAAGAAAGATTCGATGCGATTTGCTTGGCCAGTGATTTAATAATAATAATCCTTGCATTTGATATAGAACTTTATGTCGTTGAGACATCTCAAAGCACTTCACAAGGATATACTCTAAAATGGATTGACTGTTTTGTGGGCAAACGTGGCAGCCAATTGCGCACAGCAGTGTCCCACAAACAGTTATAGATTGAGTGACCACATTTTTTTTTTTCTTCGAAGGATTATTGCCCCCAGAACACAATCGCATAATGGATGGGTAAGATTATGGAAAACAATTAAGTCTTAATTCAGAAGATGCTTCTTTTTAAGACCAGCAGCTTCCAAACAGATAATAATAATAATAATCCTTGCATTTGATATAGCGCCTTATCACGTCTTCGAGACATCTCAAAGCGCTTCACAGAATATACTGTAAAGGGAAGTGACTGTATATTTTGTGGGCGAAACAAAGACTGAATTGAAGTATTTTCCACATGTGGACCCCATCTTTAACATTGAGACAAAACAGCCATTTAAGAAGATCGCTCTTGAAAGAGCCAGCACAGACCACGAGAGACCAAATGGTCTGTCTTCTGCACTATAAATGTCTGTGGCCCTACAAGTTAGATGAGCTGGAATTTTGGCTGACGGATCAGCAACCGTTTTTTTATCAGGAATTCAGGAATTGGACGCTAGCTTCTAACTTGAATCCAGCAACATAAATAGTGCTTTTTTTTAAATTTTGATTGCCTTCAAATTAACTTAATCCGCCCCAGGCACTTACATTTGATTTTTTAATCTGAATCATTAATCAACAACTCCAACACAGGCAGGAATATAGACGTGACTAAAACAGCCTGAGGCGAAATTTGGTAACACATCTGCAATCAATTTTTTTTACACTGTAATTACTCATCCTAGGTGCTAACAACAATCATGTTCTATTCTGCAAACTACCTTCAACGCTTAGGACCAAATACCTATTATCCGGCAGTTAAGTGGTTTGATCATTGTTAATGAATAAAGATGAAGGAATCAAAAATCTCTTTCAGGGAAGGAAGAGGGAATATCTGATCGCTTCAGTGCTGGAGAGTAGCACAACCAGCCAAGCTAGGACAGTCATATCATAAACGTCAACCATGATTGACATTTAACACATAGACTTCTCTCCTCCAGGTCACCAGCCTGGCTCGGTTAGTTGCACCTTTGCCTCTCAGTCAAAAGGTTGTGGCCACCCCCACAAGCAACCCTCCCCCACCCCGCCCCCCCGCATCTGGAACTTTGAACTTGCATAGCTTAGAATAAATTAACCTTCCAATTTAGAGCTGCACCGTCACAGATGCCGTCTTTTGGATGGGAAGGTATTTCGCAGGGGAAGAGAGGAGCCTTTCAGTCAATGTGAAAGAAGAGAAGCCATCTGACAGCTTGGGTTTGTGAGGGCCATGACTGCCCTTTGCATTCCAGGAAAGATGCCCCAGACCTCAGAACACAGACGAAGGCTGGCTGGCTGGCTGACGGAAGCTCGTATTTGGTTGCTGTGGGCAGGAAATGGTTGTACTGTGCCCTGTCAATTTCACCTCGACCCCTTGGGTGGTGGCTTATCTCGCAGGCTGTCACTCCATTCTCACTGCCCCCACCTCAGATCGAAAGTCACGCAGATAACCCTCCCCCTCCTTCGCTCGCTGTGCCCTTTGGAAGGTTAACTCACATAGGGCCATCTTTCAGTTGATCTGTGTGTCAGCTCAGATCTGCCTTCACAGCTCAGCTTCACGTGAACCCTCACTCAGTTTAACAGTACAGTACTCCATCTCACACCAGCCTGTTTCAAACAGTCCCTTCTCCACGGGTAGCAAACCAACCTCCTCTCTTTTGGATCACGACTGAAGACCTTTCTCTTCGACTGTGCTTAAAGTCACATCCTCTATCCCTCCCCCCAGCTCGGCATCAGGCTCCACCACTGTTAAGCGCTCTGAGACACTGCCCCATGGGAAACGACGCAAATAGTTGTTGTTTTTGTTAAATAAGGTTCACTGAGCCATACAAATCTGGAGGAGGCCAAAAAACTAATTGTGTTAGTTTGAGTGTTTGCTGCTCCAATCTATCCTAATTCCTTGGGCTTTCCCTTTACCCTACCTAAAATATCTCTCTTTTAAGAAACTACAGAAAAATAGCTTCAAAGTTAAAAAGACTGAATTGAACAACTTCCCAAATTCCGCATGCTTTGAAAACTCTGCGTAAATAGAGTAAATCTAGACCTGGGTGCAATTTCTCTATGAAATCTCTGTTTAGTCTACAAAGATGACTTTTAGTGGTAAATTGGTAAAAGTGTGTTCGATATTTAAGATTACAGAGAAAGAAAAGTTAATCGCATTTCTTTTCTAAATGATTTGAATAACTGAACTCTTGTTATCTGATTTGAACGCTGCGCTGTTTTTCAACGCTCGGCTATTTATATCTGTTTTTTAATGTCTATGAACTTGAGAAATAATCTGGTTCTACCATCAGTTCACTTTCTATTGCAATGCCCTTTTATGTGTCACATCTCCAGCGTCAATGGCAAAATAAAGTAGGCGTGAGGAGCATAAGAGTACAAATGAGTCCTTCCCCTCCCACTTTACTCTTCCTCCTCCTCCCCCCACCCCCCGCCAACAAAATAAATCCTCACATTTGATATAACGCATTTCACACTGAGAGGATGTCTCAAATTCCCTCGCAGGACTTTTACTGTAAAGTGTAGTGACTGTGTATTTTTGTAGGTGGACGCGGCAGCCATTTTGCGCACAGCGACGTCCCGCAAACAACCGTGAAGTGAGTGAGCAATTTTATCGGGGGGTGGGGGGCGGGGGTTGAATTATCGGCCAGGACACTGGGAGAGAGAGGGAAACTCCCTTCTCTAAGAGCATAGGTTGGATTTATAATGGTGTTTATTTTATTGCAAATGCAGGGTGATGGGAATTTTGGCTGAAGGATGGACAGTAGTGAATCAAAGCCACCCAATAAAGCAGCCTTCACACCAACCAGAACTTGGGACTTCTGTGTTCATGGATAGAGCTAGCTTACAGGATGGGAGGGTTGGGGGTTGGTTGGAGGGCTGCCCTTTGATAGGTTCATAGGATTTACTGTAAAGTGTAGTGACTGTGTGTTTTGTGGGCAAACACGGCAGCCAATTTGCGTACCCCCAAATCACAAACCATGAAGTGAATGATCATTTTTGTTTGGGGGTTTGTTGGTCAGGAGACTAGAAGAAATACCCTTCTCTTTTTAAACAGCGCCATGGGATCTTTAACGTCCACCTGAACAGGCACAGACTGGGAACTCGGTTTAACGTCTCATCCAAAGGACGGCACCTCCGACAATGCAGTGCTCCCCCCAGCACTGCACAGGAGTGTCAGCCTGGACTGTGTGGGTTCACAGACCCACAACCTTCTGACTCAGAGGCGAGAGTGCTACCAACTGAGCCAGGCTGACAACCATTCCCTGGTACAGAGGGTAGGTAATACTCACAACCATGGCGAGTTAGTCACTAATATTGGAGCAAGCAACACCACCCTCCTTCACCCCATGCCCCCTCATTACCCCCTGCAGTTGGGTAAGGGGGCAATTGGCCTAACCAGCAGTTGGCATGTTGGTTAGGCCAATTGCCCCCTCGAGATCGCAGGGAGAAATGTGCTCCTTATCAACACGCATCCTCTCACTCATAGCACATCAACCATCAAGCTCTCAGCCCCAGTAGTATACTGTATGAATATCCAATACTACGGAACGGTAGATTGTGGGAATTCATTCAGAGAGAGAGAGAGAGAGAGAGAGAGAGAAAGAAAGAGAAAATTCCATCAAAAGCTGAGATCGGCTCGTGTTTTCAATTGGAACCATCCAAAGTTTCTCTGAAAATAAGAAACGCCCAAAGCAAAAAAAAATCAACCAAACAAACAAACTCGCAAAGGGGAGAAAACCCCCCCCAAAAATCCACAATATTTATAATAATGATTATTAATCGTTGAAAAAAACAGATCTGTAGCCTAAAATGGGCAATTAAGAGCTCAAAGCCACCCATTATAATGGGGGCACATACAGGTATGTGTGACATCAGCACTTTTGTTGCTAACAGTGCCTGTTTTGTGCATTAACAGGGAGCTTTGACGATCTCTCCTGGGACTGATTCCCCAGGCACACCCCAAAATCAGCGGCAAGTCCAGGTAACCTATGCTTTCCCTGCATGTTCTCTCAGCTAACGTTGATATTGGGACTCTCTCTACTCTCTCTCTCTGTCTCTCTCACTCTCATGATGAACTGGATGGTGTGGTCTGCTCTGGGCACTGGCTTGCACCTTCCCCACTCTTTGCTTTTGCCATTTTGGCAAAACAAACACTGGGTTAGGGGATGGACGCCAGGAGCTCAGTGTCCACTCACACCCTGGAGTTCAGCATCACCACCAACCACTGGTTTTGTTTTCTCTGTTGTGTCACTTGTAAAGAGGTCTGATTGAGTGTGGACGAGCCAATCTTTCAGCGCCTTTGACGGTTGAGGGTGTGAAATAGTGTTAAGAGCAATGACTGTGGTATTCGAGTGGTCATTCCCAACATGGAAACTTCCTATTCTCTGCCAAGTGGCTCGGGGTAGAGGAATAGGAAGGGGGAGAAAAACTAAGTAACTTAATGAAAAACTATCAGCCCAGTTCATCATGCAGACCAGTGGAGAGTAAGTAGTCAATGGAAGAGAAATTCCAGCGGGGTCTAGATTGACAGAATTTACAGGAAATTATCCTCAAAATTATGACTGCCTTTAAGAATTTGCCGAATTGTGGACTTTCTGAAACTCTAAGAAAATAGAGCAAGCCTAGAGACGGTTGACCAAAACAAATTACTTTCTCCTCAGTTTTTATTTCCCACGGTTGCCCTTGGCTGCAGTGGTTGCTTGATGTCACACAAGAAAAGAAGTGCATTGCTTGTTACAAACTCCCTTTATTCGTCTCAATTCTAACACTTTTGTCTGTACTTTGAGATTGATGCACCACAGAGATGCGAAGGGTGACACCTCTGGATATATTATGCAGATAAGCGCCAGATAATAAAAAATAATATTGATCCTTACATTTGATATAGCGCCTTTCAATGTCAGGATGACGTCTCAAAGCGCCTCAAACGTAAAGTGTAGTGACTGTGTGTTTGGCCAGTGCACGTGGGCAGCCAATTTGGGTCAATACTCCGTATAGGAAATAAAAAAAAATGAGAGGCACACGGACTTCATGGCTGGAAAGTACTTGCCAAGGGGAAGGTTGAAAGTGATTTGGACGTGTTAGCTGCCTTGTTGCTCACCACCTCCAAACAGTGCAAGGCAGCAAAAGCCAAGGCAAACAGCAGCCCAGGCTGCACTTATCAAATGGGTTGAGTTCAGATCGCTGCTAGGAGTCATATCCAGGATGTGCTTGTTTAAGACGCTGTCATTGGGTATGTTGGGAGGCTGAGATCAAATTGGTTACGAAGCTGCATTTATTTTTTCAATCTCTGCCTCTTGTGAAGTTATAGCGTTAAACACATGAAACGAACTACAACGGGTATACTGAGATAAAAGAAGTACAGTACCTAAGGCTAGTGACTGGAGCTAGCAGATCTTGTATTAGAAAGACACCTCGATGGAAGCCAGGGCCTGAGATAAAAGGAGCACGTTCCAGGCACTTTTGAAATGCAGCCTGACCCTTTTCAGTGAGACTCCTCAAACTTGTTTCAAGGTCAAGTCGTGTGAGTTCAGAGGGTCTGTAACCCACCTTGCTCCTCCGATCTCGAGCACGTTCCTCATTGACACACACAAGGAAGCAGTCAGCAGAAGTTAAACAACTGTCTCTCATAAACTTGCGCTTAAACTTAATAGAAGATGACTCCACGTTTCCCCCCCCCACCCCCCTTTGAATTCCTCTAAATCCCTTCGACCCAGCTCTGCTTTCTTTTCTTTGCAAAAGAAAATAATAATAATAATAATGATAAAACCGAGAAGAAGTTCCCACTTTATTCAGGCACTGATGTTAACCAAACCACTCCATTGATGCAGAAAGCGTACGGGTCCACCGTCTGAATCCATGACGTTTAATTAACGGGATTGAATTAATTAGCTTCACTCAAACCCCGCAAAAAAAAAAAAAAAATCGAACGCCATCCGTGCAGCTGTCATGCAACGCACGTCCTGTTATCATACGGCAAAGGATCTGCCTGACTTTCTCTGCCGATGCTCTGATGTACCACAGAACCACAGGGTCGGGTCGAATATCACATCCTCAACAGCACCACCACTCCAGGCAACCTCACTCCGTAAAATCAAAGAACACTGCGGCACAGAAGGAAGCCACTTGACTCATCGTGCCAGCTGTCTGATTCAATAGAAAAAAAATCCCACTTGATTTATTAAAAGCTAACAGCTCGAAATGGTGCATTGCGAGAGTGATTCATGGTGAATAACAAGAGTGATTCAGTGTGAGTTACAACCGCAACAACTTATAGTGTATACGTATAGCGCCCTTCAAGCAGGGTAGCGTCTCAGAGCGCTTGCAGCAAATACCTATGACAATAATAATAATGATCCTTGCATATGATACGGGGCCTTTCACATTGGGAGGACGTCTTAAAGAGATTCATGGCATGTACTACCAAGTGGGGTGACTGTGTGTTTTGTAGGCAAACGCAGCAGCCAAATGGCACACAGCAGTGTTTCACAGACAGCCATGAAGTCAGTGACCAATTCTGTTCAATAAAGGAGGAGGGAATGAGCGCTCAGTGAACGATGTTCTGAGCTGCGGAGGGATTTGGCGATTGATAGAGCGATGGCTCCAATCCATCAAGCCACCGACCCCAAGGCCAGGGATGGGATCTCCGCAACACAATGTTGCTTTATATTTGCAAAGTTTGTTCCCAAAATACCGCAAATTAAACACACTGGAATAACTGTATGACTTGGCTTCGCAGTAATCTAATCGGAGCTGTCAGGGAGCATCAGATTGGTGAGAGCAAAGCTCAAGCAGTTTCTGTACGTTATCCGACCCCCCCCCCCACCCCCCACCCCACCCCACACACACACACACGCACACTGACCCCCTCATCAACCTCCCCCCCCCCACATACACACCTCACCCCCATCCAGATTAGATGACATTCAATTCCGAATGGCTTTGATAGGGTAACCAGGGTGACCCCACTATGTTCTTTGATAATAACAATCCTTGCGTTTGCTGTAGCGCCTTATCATGTCACTGAGACGTCTCAAAGCGCTTCACAGGATATATCGTAAAGTGGATCGACTGTGTGTTTTGGTGATCAAGTCAGGAACAAAAGGGCCATGAATTCAGGATTTCAGTGAAATTCAGCTAATTGAATATCGGAGAATTGAATAGTTTGGTTTATTGAATAGAACTTAGAGTTTCGGGAGATGAATCTCCTCTTACCTTTAGTTTGGTTATATGAATAGTGTGGTTTATTGAATAGTTTTCACTGTTAAATTGCGTGTACAATTCATAGAATTTCACCGTATCGCCAGAGAATAAAAGAGGAGAGCAGAGATCAGTAGATTTTTTTTATACACACATACAAATGGAAGGTAGTTAGAATATGAGGTGGCTGTTAAGAAATGGTTGCATTGAGTCAAGCCCATTACATTGATGTCCACACCAAGCAAAAATCCATTAGAATGGGGGTAAGAGCAGGGGAAAGGGGTTTGAGTCGATAGGCCAAGGTCTGAAATTCTACTTTGACTTATAGTCAGTAAAGGCCGTGTTGACTTCAGTATTAAGACTGTGCAAAATTTTAGTGTTATTGGTTAAAACTAGGTGGGATTACCAGCCTCCAGTGGGGGAGTTTGCACTTAACCAATAATAGTAATAATCTTTGCATTTGATACAGCACCTTGTCTCGTTTGGAGGACAACAACAACAACAAAATACATTTATATAGTGCCTTTCACATCGAGAAGACGTCTCAAAGCGCTTCACAGGATACACTGTAAAGTGACCTGTCTTTGGGGATTTTGTGGGCTGTGTTTGAACGGCTTCCTCTGCTATTATAAACACCGGGTGATTCATTAATACCCTTAACATTATCAGAGCTGGCTGGCAATTCAGGCCATGTACATAAGATTGCAATCACAATCTGTTACAGCCATCAACCTTTGAGTTTTGCATAAACAAGATTGAGCGAGCAGCACAAACCGTCCATATGACATCATGTGCACATTAACAGATGCACTGTTCAGGGCACCGCTCATTCCCTCTAAAGGCGAGGGGTGCCTCACACAGTCAGCTCCATGTGTTATTGAACACCCGTGTCGCTGTGCCAGACAAGACAAGTCACTGCATTGACTGCTCATAACCTGACAAAACAAGCCTTTCACTTCCTTTCTCTGCTAACCCTTCCCAGGGCATGAAGAAAAACTGGCTTCACGCAGACACATAGGAGAGAGCCCGATAGCCACATTCATTGGGACCAACCCCATTGTGGGTATGAAAACAGTGCAGATATCTGGTCACTGTGTGTGTGTGTGTGTGTGTGTGTGCGCGTGTGTAGGTGTCTCGGTCTCGCTCCACCCTCTCTAACTCTGTAAATGTGTCTCTGTCTCTTTCATCCCTCTCTCTATCTCTCCAATTCAGTGTCTCTCTCTCTGTCTCTCTACCTTTCTAACTCCCCAAATGTTTTTCTCTCTCCTCATCTCTCCAGCTGTGCGTGTGTGTGTGTGTGTGTACCTCTGTCTGTTTGTGTGGGACTGTGTGTGTATTTATCTGAATCAGATCTCTTCACCTCGCACTGCTTGAGTAAAATTAGGAACCTGTTTACCTTGCAGACAATTAAACATTGCAGCACAACTTTATTTCTGCATCTGAGCCCAATGTAAGTGGACAAGCACTGCCCACCCCAACCCCACCCCGACCCCCAGCACTGCCCACCCCCCTGACACCCAGCATTGCCCACCGCCAGCACTGCCCAGGAGCATCAGCCTAGACTTTGAGCTCAAAGTCCTGACATGGGGCTTGAATCCACGACCTTCTGATGGCTACCTCTGAACTAGATGACAGTTTTTATAGCCACTTCATTAGTGAGCTACTGACAATCTGGCGCTGTGATAGGTGGGGAGGCTTCATTAACTGAATGGACTTTACTGACTAATATGGGACTGTAACTGCAGAGTAACATCATGATGAGGAATTTTATTGGAGTTGCAA